ACAGCCAGGGTTGGTTTTTCCAGATGTGCAGGGAATACATACTTATACAAAGAGGCCTGGTTGTTTTCAACTTTCACTATAGACTCATCAAGGAAAGGAAAAGCAAAAGTGTATCCTGTGGCAAAGACAATTATGTCAATGGGTTCTTCTTCTGGAGTATTCTCAAACACTACAGAGTTTTCCTTCACTGTCTCCATCCTGGGTTTGATCAACACCTTTCCAGTAATTATGCATCCTGGAAGCTCATCATTAAGTACAGGTTCTCTTAGGAAAGTCCTAAATAAAAGCAGAGAAGGAAGAGGTGCACCAATGAATAATATGCCTCATTTATCCTCTGACCTCCCTCTGATCCTGCCTTTGATTCTGAAATTCTCTCCTTTCAATGAATATGAGGTGTTAGGCTTGAGAGAAGGAAGTTGTTTGGGGAAGGATTTATAATTTCTCATAATGGTTCCTCCTTATAGGCTACTGCCTGAACAATCATTCAAAGTAAGGATACCTAGGTGGCGGACCTTCAGGTTTCTGCCTATCCTTCATCACACCTGTGTTTTTTTCCCCAAATTTCAGTGATTCCTGATTAGATCTATCTTCTGAGAATAACTGGAGATATTCCCATTGCACTCTTCTTCTGAAGCTACAGGAGTTTATATATTCGACTTTGGTGGTTAGGGAAGATAAGAAGTATACAGACATGATAAGGAAATGCAAAGTAATTTTAGGAAGAGAGTGCTAAAAACTGGAGTGCTCAGAAGAAGCTCATGTAAGATATGGCACCTGAGAAGGGCCTTGAAAAAAGCTAAGGTTCCAAGAGTTATAGTTAAGGAATAAATGTATTCAAAGAATTGTGTTGACAAATAGTACAAAAGTGGGAGGGTGTATGGCATTCACATTGGAAATCCAGTTTGGATAAAACATGATAGGGAGTAATTTGAAAAAAATTGGAAAGCTAGTTGGAAGTCAGATTGTGGAAAGCTTCAATTATTACCTCTCTCTCTCTCTCTATATGTATATACCAAATCTGTAACTCCTTTCCAAACTTTTCTAGTGTTCTAGTTTTATGTATTCAATTCTTGTTGGATGTTGTTACCTTAATGTCCACAGCACCTCAGAATGTCTGAATAGTAACTCATCAACTTCCTCCCCAAATCTACCCCACCTCTTGACTTCTGCATTTATATGGATGACAACACCATCTCCTCAGTCATTCAGGCTTGTAACCTGGGTGTTACCTTTGGCTCTTCTCTCTACCTCCCCCATCCTTCCCATTCAAACAACAATACCACAGCAATATCTCTCACATTCATCCCCTCCTTTCCACTTAGGTCACCACTGCTCTGGTTCAGTCTCTTCTTTATTCTTACCTATATTAATGATAGCTCCCATTTCTATAGGACTTTAAAATTTACAAAGCACTTCTTTACAACAACCTTGTGAGGCATCTACTGAGAGATCATTATCTCCCTTTTACAGATGAGGAAATTGAGGAACAGAGAAATTAAATAATAAGGTCATACAGCTAGGTAAGTATCAGGGCCTGGAATCCAACCCAGGTTTCCTGACTCTCAGGTCCATCTGTCTCTTCACTCAACCACATATTGTCATAACCTTCTAAATAGTCTTCCAGATCCAGTCAATATAATTATCTTTCATATGACTGTTCCTGGAATGTTGCTAATATACCATTACAGTTGTGTAACTCCTCAAAATCCTTTAGTCGCTCCTATTGCCTACAGAATAAAGTAGAAGCTACTGATTCTGGCATTCATTGCTCTGCTTTTGGAGTCAGGATCAAGCCCTGATTCCTGTATTCATTAATTGTATGACTCTAGGCAATCTACCTTCCCTATTTGAGCCTCTATTTTTAAGCTATGGAATGGAAATAATGATATTTTTTCTTCCTACCTTTCAGGGTTATTATGTGGAAAGTGTTTTGTAAACCTTAACATGTAATGTAACTGTGAGTTATTATTATTGCTATTCCTATCTAGTCAAAATATACCTCTCTTTGCCTTCTATTGCCATCTTGTCTCCATGCCTTGGCTCATACATAGAAGACACTCCCTTTCTTTTCTTCATTATAATTCACTTTTTCTTTCAAAATTCAGCTCGGATGCTACCTTCTACATGAAGCCTTTTACAACTCCACAGTTGGTAATGGTCACTACTTTAAATTACCTTGTTTTATGTATGTATACACACATGTATGTATGTATGTATATATGGTATATGTATACATACATAAACATATACTTAGAAACATATACACATGCATGCATATATTCATATACATACACTACACATACACACAGACATATAATTGGGTTAGATTCTAGGCCTTGATACTTACTAGCTGTGTGACCCTAGATAAGTTACTTAATTTGTGCGTGTGTGTGTATGTGTGTATATATATATATATATATATATATATATGTATATACACACACACAAATCTCTCATATATAAAAATAATCTCTCATATATGTATATACAGATGTAGCTATATACAATACATATATGTAACATATAATTATATTTATATATAATACATTTGTTTATGTATATATATAATTCATTGTATATATACCCTCACATATATACATATACATATGCCTTTCTATAATTATTTATGTGCATGTTTTCTCCACTGATATAATGTAAGTCCCTTGAGTGTTGGTACTGTTTCATTTTTGTCTTCACATCCCCAGAAGCTTTATATCACCAGTGCCTGACAGATAGTAGATGTTTAATAAATGCCAGCTAATTTGTGTCTCTTCCTCTTTTCTTTTGTCAATTCTACCCACCCCCTTCTCCTCCATTTTACCGCCCCAGCAGATGAGCCCTAGTAGATGAAAGTTTTCTCTCCTTGAATTACTCATGGAATTTTGCTTAGCCTCTCCTATCTATTTATCTTATTCTAGTCCTCATATCTAATTGTGTACATGCCCTCTGTAAGACTAAGCCTCTTGAGAGGTTAATGTCACAGTTATTTTTCTTTCTATAGTACCTTTTACACATTAAGTCCTTATTATATGTTTGCTGAACTGAATTGAGATTGTCTTGTTGAAAGTCTATCTTGCAGTCATTAAAGAGATTGCAAATGGATACTGTAAGATGCAATTTCTCTTTACCAATGGAACAAAAGCCCACAAATATATCCCTTGTTCAAAATGAATCTTGGATATGATTCTATACTCTTTCTTTCCAAATGTTTCAACAAAATAAACACATATCTTGTAGCAGCAGCAACTGTCCAACTTCACAAAAGTTACTGAGGAATCTGTGGGTCCCTCCTTTCTGAGAGCACAAAACAGAAGCCAAGAAATTACCTGTTTTCTGGAACCAAACCGTAGTTTGCATGATCGAACCAGCTATTTGCCTTTTTGCCAATTAACCAGTTTACCACTGAAGTTGGGAGGGAATTTCTTAATGCACTTCTAAATCGAGAAGTGAACACCATGTCCCAAGGATACCCATGGTCAAAAACCCGATTTATCACCCACGAACCTCTAGTAGTGCTGAGTAACACCTAGAAGCAAACAGACAAATTGTTTAACATTTACTTCATGTAATTGCTGTGAGGATCAAATCAATTAGTATTGGTAAAGTTCTTGGCAAACCTTAAAGCACTATTTAAATACCAGTTATTGTTATTATTATCATTCAAAACACTTTGTGAACCTTATAGTACCATATAAACATCAGTTGTAATTATAAAGTTAGAGGCACTGAATTCTCTGCCAGTTCCCAAATCTTTTTTCATCCCTACCCCTCCAGTTTGCTAAAATAACTTAAATAACTTTATGGTTTGTATTATGCTTTAAGATTTGCAAAGGGCTTTATAGACATTATCTTGTCTGATCTTCACAACATCTCTGTACATACTATGTCCACTTCATAAATGGGCAAATTGAGTCTCATAGGGGCCAAATAACAGATAGTCATATAACATTTTAACTTTTTGCAAAAACTTGATAAACATGATCTCATTTGATCCATACAACAACTCAGTGCATGGGTGCTATTATTGTTCCTGTTTTATAAATGAGAAAATTTGGGACTGAGAGGTTAAAGGACTTGCTTGGAGTCATACAGCTAGTAATTCTCAGAGGCAGGATTTGAATCTTGTTCATTGTGACTCCAAGTTCTTGGTAAATGAAAAATTTTGAGTGTCATTAACAAAAATAGGGATGTCATGATGAGAACCATTTCTTTCTTTCTTTCTTTCTTTCTTTCTTTCTTCCTTCCTTTCTTTCTTCCTTCCTTCCTTCCTATCTTCCTTCCTTCCTCCATTCCTTCCTACTTTCCTTCCTTCCTCTCTAGAGAAACAATAAATTCAGAAATTACAATGAAATTGACCAATAATGAAGGGAAGCTACGTTTTTAAAAGGCCATTCAGCACATCAGCACATTTTATATGACATTTTAATTACAATTAGTAACCTGAAGGTCCATACCTTTTTAGCCACGTGACTGGCCTCCACAGCAATGTCTGTGCCAGAGTTCCCCATGCCAATCACAAGGACTCTCTTATCCTTGAACAGATCGGGATGCTTGTACTCCCGGCTGTGAAAGTACTGACCTTTAAAGGTGTTGATACCTGCAAGGGAAAACCAAAGAGAGGAAATGAGGGATTTGACAAGCTCTGTGAATAAAACCTATCATTCAGGCAATAACGTTGGTTTGGGGTGATATTATTTGAAGGTCTACCACACAGAAGAAGGATTAGATCTGGTCTGTTTGGTTTGGGTGAGGATGAGGACTACTGACTAGAAGTTGTAAAGAGGAAACTTTATCTTGTAAAACTTCCTAATAATTAGGGCTGTCCAAAAGGTGGATTAACTACCTCTGGAAGTGGCGGAGATTCTTGCTTGGGAATGCGTTGGACTAGATGACCACTGGGGTCTCTCCCAACTCTGAAATTCTATGATACTGTGAAACAATTAGAAACATGAAATTATTCACTCATGAGCACATGCGTTCAGTAAGGCCATAAAGTGTAGTGACAAAATATGATGTTTGTAGTCAGACTGAGGTTTGAATCTGGTCTCAGATACTCTTTGTATGACCCGGGTCAAGCCACGTTATATTTTTGGGCTTGGTCTCCTCATCTGTGTAATAGTGATTGTAATATTTGCAGCATTGTCTCCCTCACAGAGTTGTAGTATGAAAAAGTGCTTTCTCGCCTTAAATCACCACCTAGAATTAAGAGCTAGCAGGAGCCTTAGTCCATGTAGTTCATATCCATCATGTAGTCCATTTTTCAGATGAGGAAACCATATTCTAAAAGTCTTGTCCAAGGTCATAAAGGTAATAAGTAGAGGAGAAATGAAAACCAGATCTTCTCTCCCCAAATCCATTGTTCTTTCTTATTTGTGATTAGTAAAGCATTATTTGTTGTTGTTCGGTTGTTTCGGTTGTGTCTGACTCTTTGTGATCCAATTTAGGGTTTTCTTGGCAAAGGTACTGAAGTGGTTTGCCGTTTCCTTCTCCAGATCATTTTATAAATGAGGAAACTGAGGCAAACACAGTTAAGTCCAGGGTCACACAGCTAGTGTCTGAGGTCAGATATGAAGTCAAGAGGATGGTGTCACCTAATACCCTTAAGTATTGTTCACCACGTCATTAGCAATCTGACTAAAAGGCTATGGGGTAGAGAAATGAAGGTACTTATTTTGTGGTATCCTCCACAATGTCTTCCTCTGATGTCTCATCATAACAAAGAGGTGATTATGGGATCTTGAAGGGCATGGCAATGGAATGTGAGCTTTAAGAGATCCTGACAGGCTCAAAGCATGTTCATTGGTGATGAACTCTCACCTGAGAAACACCCAAGGTAAGTTCAGAGAAACTCATCACTAAAAGGTTGATCTCCAAATATTAGGAAACTACCTGCTCAGCTATTCTTGGCAGTATTGATCAACTGACGCCTTATTTATTACTTTCAAGCTGTTTGGATGGTAGAGCCACAATGAATTTTTCTGTCTCTATGTTCAAGCCAGAAAAATAGGTCATAGTAAAGAGAACCCAATTGAAGAGGTGACTTTGTGTCAGTAATAGAACATTTCTTCTATTCAAGACTGACTTAACTCATATAAATAGATACTGCCACCACTGACCCTTAGGTCTGGTAGTGTTTAGAATGAAGAAAATATAATGTTGCTTCCAATCTTTAGGAAGTATTAAGGAGCAGGCTGGAGAGTTTCTAGCCAGAAGGAAGATAATGGTATATGCCTTGAGTAGACTAAGGTAGTGAGTGGGGCTTAAAGAAGTGTAGCTGAGAGAACTCTCTCTTTGGGCCCCTCTTGGGAGGCAGATGGCAGCTCTGTGTCTCCTCATTTTGGATAAGCCATAATTGTTGGATCTTTCCTTCAAAAATGATAGCGAATATTTATGAAGCACCATTTATGCACCAGTCGCCATGGTAGCTGTTGTTGCTGCTGTTCAGTCACGTCTGACTCTTTGTATTCATTTGAGTTCTTCTTGGCAAAGATGTAGGAGTGGTTTGCCATTTCCTTCTCCAGCTCTTTTTACAGATGAGGAAACAGGGTTAAGTGACTCGCCCATGGTCATGCAGCTTTTAGGTATCTGAGGCTGGATTAGAATTCAGGTCTTCCTGACTCCAGACTTGGCATTCTACCCACTGTACCACCTAGCTGCTTAGTCTCCATCCTAAACCTTTACAAATATCATCTCATTTGATCCTCACAACAATCTTGGGGGGGATAAGGTACTGATATTATCCCCATTTGACAGATGAGGAAACTGAGGCAAACAAGGATTAAGTGACTTGCTCAGAGTCACACAACTAGTAAGTATCTGAGGCTAGATTTGAACTCAGATCTTCCTGATTCCAATCCCTGCATCTAGGAGCAGCTAGGTAGCTGCTCCTTCTGTCCTCCTCTTTTGCATTCTTATTCTCTCCTCTCTTAACCTGGAGCTGGGATTATATTTGACTTCATGTCAGGGTAAACCAACTGAGCCAGAGAGAGATAATTGAATTCCATCCTATTTGCAGAAATGCTGTGTGTCTGAGTCTTTAAACTTACTGTATTATAGACTCATGAAAGACATTGGTGAGGTCTGTTGTTGCCAGCAAGGCTAAACAAAGACCAGCAATTTTGCTGTTGGTAGGTAGGTACGATAAAGGCAGGAATTTATAATAAAGGAACTAAGACAGAAGTAATTAGATCTACTTTTGTTCTTGAACCTGGGTTCATTTGCGGGGCAACCAGGAGCTTTTAGGGGAAGGGAGACTCATGGAAACTCATTCTCCCATCCCTACATGGATCCTCTGTGGATGTGTTGTGTAAAAATGGCACGAGGAGATGCAGACTGAGGATTTGACTGGAATTAAAAGGAATTTTCTTTTTTTTTTCTCCTTACTTAATAGTATTTTATTTTTTCCACTTACATGTAAAGATAGTTTTCAACATTCACTTTTGTAAGATTTTGAGTTCTATTTTTTTTCTGTTTCCCTCCTTGCCCCTCTCCCCAAGACAGCATGCAATCTGATATAGACTACATATGTACAACCATATTAAACATATTTCCACATTAGTCATGTTGTAAAAGAAGAATCAGGACAAAAGGGAAAAACCGTGAAAAAGAAAAAGAAAAATAATATGCTTTGATCTGTATTCAGACTCCATTGTTCTTTCTCTGAATGTGGATAGCATTTTCCATCATAAGCCCTTGGCAATTGTCTTAGAACATTGTGTCGCTGAGAAGAGCTAAGTCTATCAAAGATGATCATTGCACAATGTTGCTGTTACTGTGTGCAATGTTTTTTTGCTCACTTCACTCAGCATCAGTTCATGTAAGTCTTTCCAGAGTTTCCTGAAATCAGCCTGCTCATCATTTCTTATAGCACAATAGTATTTCATTACACTCATATACCACAACGTGTTCAGTCATTCTCCAATTGATGGGCACTCCCTCAATTTCTAATTCTTTGCTACCACAAGAAGAGCTGCTATAAATATTTTTGTACATGTGGGTCCTTTTCCTTTTTTTTATGATCTCTTTGGGATATAAACCTAGCAGTGGCATTGTAGAATCAAAGAGTATGCACAGTTTTATAGCCCTTTGGGCATAGTTCCAAATTGCTTTCCAGAATGGTCGGAGTAGTTCACAACTCCACCAACATTGCATTAGTGTTCCAATTTTCCCACCTGTTCTCCAACATTTATCATTTTCCTGTTTCATCCTATTGGCCAATCTGATGGGTGTGATGTGGTACCTCAGAATCGTTTTGATTTGCATTTCTCTAATCAATAGTAATTTAGAGCATTTTTTTCATATGCCATAGATAGCTTTAATTTCTTCATCTGCAAACTGCCTGTTCATATCCTTTGACCATTTATCAACTGGGTAATGACTTGTAATCTTATAAATTTGACTCAGTTCTCTATATATTTTAGAAATGAGGCCTTTATCACAGACACTGGCTTTAAAAACTATTTCCCAGCTTTCTGCTTCCCTTCTAATCTTGATTGCATTGACTTTGTTTGTGTAAAACCTTTTTAATTTAATGTAATCAAAATGATCCATTTTGCATTTCATAATATTCTCTCTCTTCTCTTCTACATAGATCTGACAGGTAAACTATTCCTTGCCCTCCTAATTTGCTCATGGTGTCACCCTTCATATGTAAATCATGTACCTATTTCGACTAAGAAGAATTTTCTAATAACAAATCTGATAATGTATTGGGGTCAAGAATTTTGGGCAGCAGCTGGAGATATCAGAGAAAAAGAAAAACAAAATCCCTTATTCCTCTGTTGAAGGTTTCTGCTATTTTTTTTACTGACTTTTGGGCTAGGTGACATTATCATGCCCTTAGACTCCGAGGGTTAAAAGGATTTTAGCCCTCTGAGGCACCCCAGTTGAGAGAGTAGTGTAGGTAACCTGGGAAGTGGAAGAGCTGACGACCAGAAGATGGCAGCAGAGAGCAGCTCAGGGACCGCAGTAGTCAGAAAGAGACTATACAATGTTGGGTGGAAGGCGGGAACACACAGTGAACGACAGAGAGATCAGTAGGGATGATGGGGTTCAGTGCTCAGCCGTGAGTGGAGTTGCAATGCTCGGCAGACAAATGGTGCCTCACAAAGAGTAGCAGTGTGGCACAATAGCATCACCAGAGGATAGTAACAGTTCTATAGTATTAGAGGACACTTACTACTGTGTGACCCTGGGCAAGTCACTTCCTCATCTATAAAACGAGCTGGAGAAGGAAATGGCAAATTACTCCAATATCTTTGCCAAAAAAACCCCCAAATGAGGCCATGGAAAATTGGACAAGACTGAATAATGACTGAAGAACAACAACAACAGTATTAAAGTGCTGAGTTGCCCCAGTCACATGAGTACCCTGACATGCCCTATGTGAGTACCCTACATCCATGTGCCCAGGTCATATTTGTTTTCCACGTTTCTTTGTTCATATATATTCTTTGACCATATGGGTTTCTTTACCTGTGTGTCTTTCCACATATTTCCTGATCATACATATTCTTTGTATGTATGCATTCCCTCTGTTCATTGCTGGTATTCCTTTGGGTGTGAGGGGTTATTGTGAGGGACATTTTGTCATCTCTT